CAAAGTCCAATAATCCCCACTTACGAGATTATAGTATCTGGTTACCAGATGGTGTACAGCCGCATTATGAATATGATGTTCGCGAGTTTTTAAATCAATGTTTTACTGGGAGGTGGATTGGTACACGAGGACCAATAGTGTGGTCCCTAAGATCTCCAGATCTTAGACCTTTAGATTTTTTTATATATTACTTACAAAGGTTTATGTAAATACACCGCAAAATCTACAGGCGTTGCAAGACCGAATCAGAGACAAAGTTAATAGAAATTCAACGGAAGTTATTCGCAAATTGCAAGAAGAATGTGTTCGTTGACTTGCGTATGGTCAAGACACCTGTGGATAGCATTTTGAGCATTTAATTTAGTTGAAAAGTAATATGTAATAATTACACTTCGTTTATTGTATCCTCTTAAAAAATAACATAACTTTAACCATCACTCCGTGCGTAGACGATAGGAAAGCTATGGTTCCCCTCCTCGATCACGTTCTCAGTGACACATCCTGTTTTTAAAACTTTTCGAATGAAGTATTACAATACCCACATTTCAATTTAAAAAAATCAACGATTACATCACCATGTCAAAAAATCGACCCATTTCAGGATTTTTGTCTAAAATAAATTGTTTTCAAAGTAATGAATTTGTTCCATAACTTAGATGCGCTCTGTATAATGTCGATAAGTTAAAAAGAATTTGGAAATATGAAGAAAATACTTTATTTTTTATTAATATATCTTTAGAAAGTATTGAAAAAATTTGGACAATAACCTCAAAAAATACGTATTACGATAATATAATAATTTAAGTCAGTCGAATGTCAAACTAATAATTCTTACGCCTCAAATGGCTTAGGTGGACGCAACAGAAATTATTATAGTTGCAATTTCCTGTATAATGTATAAAGAATTTGATCAGCAATCTACTTAGGGAGAGGGATTCTACGAATAATAAAGAAATTCAACAAGACAAATCCAGAGAGACCCTAAAAGAGATCTGATTATTACTGTGATATAAGATATTTTGTTCGTTCTTAACAAGGATGGGCTAGAAGGATGAAGGATAATAAAAGATTATAAAGGTCTCTAGAGGTGACGACATAAAAAACATGTTCTCAGGAAAACATCGATCTTGCACGAAGGGCTGTTGTATCTTAATATTTTGATGATATTCAACCACGGTTGTACACGCAATAGAGATGAAACATAATGTTGCCCTGCTATCTTCATAATTGCACTTGGCATTGAACGTAAGAACATTTGTGTTCTAACGACGCGACGTAGCAAGGTCTCCCTTAAAATTGGGCTTATACTTTTATAAGAAGAATACTTTTTGTAAAAGCAATAAATCTGAGTTATAGATTACACTAACATGGATTGCCCGTTCACTTTAATTTTATTTAGAAGTAGAAGTTAAAGAATTCAAACACATTATAACATTAATTATGCAATTGGTATAGGGTGGGAGCCATGAATTTGAATCTGGTGGTAGTTTTTTTTTTCAATAGCGTAGCCTATTGATTTCTCATCACCTCCTTTAACATACACTTTTGCTTCTATTAAAAGGAAAGAAAAGAAGACCGGCTATAATTGAAATTGACTTCAAGCTACTGTCTGTAGCTCATAAAGTAATGGATTTACATAAAATAAAGGATCATATAAATATTTAGAAAAGACATCGGCAAAAGTGTTAAAAATACAAATTACAAACAAATAGCTTAAAATGTTATAAAATACCAACACAAAATATATCATAAGCCGCGAAAGGGATTTATGTATCATATAGCAAACCATAATGAACGAACAATCGATATACGATAAATTGCGTCGACACATTATGACCTAAAGAACATGGTTAGAATGATAATGATGATTTCAATTGACCTTACAATGTTACAATAATACCTTAAGAATGTGAATAGGTGATCCAGTTTATGTTAGTTTCTATACTTTGTCAAAACTAGGAATGCTTTTGAAAATCCTATAATCGGTACGTCCACCATGGATGCGCACCAAAATTACATGAAGTTATCTTAGAAGGAGATGTAAACTCGGTCGAGTTACAACTCACTTAGTCAAAAAAAAAAGAGGTTAGTCTTCGTAAGTGGGTATATTTATTTAAAAACTCTTAAAAGGGCTACATCAAAAAAACAAACTCTAGTTTGTTTTGACCTGATGATAACTGTTTAGTCCGAAAACGTTTGTTTTTTTTATGTAGCCCTTTTAAGGGTTTTTAAATAAATATACCCACTTACGAAGACTAACCTCTTTTTTTGTGATACGTGGTATACAGCCAGCTACAGGAATTGTTTTCCTTGTGGATTTCACTTAGTCAAGTCCCGGTGTTTATCCATCCCTTTCTCTTCGAATTTTTGTCTGCTCTTTGCGCCGATTGGGAAAATTTCGAAACTCTTGACGCGTAATCTTAATGTTTGCCAAATATTAAGGAGAGTATACGTTCGTGGCCAGTGTTATGTAATAACACATTTTATTCAAAGGTTTTTTAGATCGTGGTCTGGAATTGATGTTTTTTTCGATCCATCTATTGGCCAGTCTGAAACGTAAGTTAGGGAGTTTATATACTTTACCGATAAAAGGGAGAAATCACAATAGGACCGGATGTATTAGTGAACTTCAACTTACTTTAACTGTTTGCTATAGTGCAAGTTGGTGAGATATTAAAGAGCGCTAGGCAGTTATTTCTAGAAGCCATGTAATTGTCTGATCTAAAGGGCTAAAGCTAAACTTACTCTTCTTATTCTTACTATCGGAGGATGGTTATTATCATAACTATTTGTTTCTTATTGGCAGACGCTCGAAAAAGATCTCTTGAGCTACAATTATACCACTCTATTAATGTTTCTCAATTAAGAAATCTTTCTTCGACCTTTTTTTTTAACCTTGATCCTTCCGTGCCTTACAAGTTTATTTAAAAGTAAGATTCAGTTCGTCACGGAAATAAAGAATAAGATACTTACATTTTTAGATTTTCTGGTGGAAAATCCAACGGATCACAGTGTACTTCAATTACTATTAAACTGGGAATAAGCCACAATTAAAGATAAAAATATGTTTATTGACGTTTCAATTTCCACTTCGGAAATCGTTCTCAAAATACAAACAGTGTAATTCGTTGGATCATTCCAACATATCGGCCAACAAGAAGAACCAAAAGATAAACCTTTCTTACTGCATATACAAATATTGCAGATTGTATCAGCAACATCTAAGTCTTCTTCTTCTTCTTCAAGTGCCGTCTTCGTTCCGAAGTTTGGCTATCATCAAAGCTATGCGTATTTTTGATGCTGCAGATCTAAACAGTTGGTAATTGGTGCAATTGTACCATTCTCTCAAGTTTTTCAACCATGAATGCCTTCTTCTTCCTATAGATCTCTTTCCCATTATCTTTCCCTGGATAATCAATTGCAGCAACTGGTATTTATCTCTCCTCATAACATGTCCCAAATATTGTAGTTTGCGCTTTTTAACAGTAAGTATCAGCTCTTTCTCTTTCCGCACTCTCCGCAAAACCTCCACATTTGTTACTTTCTCTGTCCAGGGTATTCTTAATATTCTACGATACATCCACAACTCAAATGCTTCTATCTTTTTGGTATCGATCTTTTTCAATGTCCATGTTTCCATCCCGTAGAGGAGAACTGACATAACGTAACATTTCAAAAATCGAATTTTAAGTTTTAGACTTAGATCTCTTCCGCAGAACACCTTTTTCAATTTAGTAAATGTGGCTCTAGCTTTCTCTATTCTGGTTCTGATTTCTTCAGAGCAATCATTATTTTCGTTGATAACAGTTCCCAGGTAATTATATCTTCTTACACGTTCGATTCTTTGATCATTCACGGTTATGTCAGGGATGTTTTGTGGTGATTTAGATATTAGCATTATTTTTGTTTTGCTTATGTTAAGTGATAATCCGTGTTGTTTACTGCATTCTACTATTTTGTTAATTAGTATTTGAAGATCTTCCCAAGTTTCTGCGATTAGTACCGTGTCATCGGCATATCTCAAGTTGTTTATTCGGATGCCATTTATCTTAATACCTATATTTTGATCCGAAAGTGCTGTGTTTATAATGTCTTCGGAGTATAGATTGAATAAGGTCGGTGAGAGTATACAACCCTGTCTTACGCCTTTCTTGATCTCGAGTTCCTCCGTTGTCTCTTGCTCTAATATCTAAGTAAAACATTCAAATACAAAATCTATTTTCAAACCAACGAAGACGAAGCAAAAAAAATTAAGATGGGAAGAATCAAGAATTTACAGTATTCTTTCAGTGGTGGTTTCTTGTACATCGAAAAACAAGGAGTGAGGTAAATTTCCGTTAGACTGAACAGAAGGAGAACTGTCATCTTGATCAATATAAAAAATCCGTTGTTGTAGATTATACAATCACACAAGACGATTACCAAATTTTAGTCAAAAATCTGGTGCTTATTATAACGTTACACTACTATCCGCAGATGTTCATAGAATGTATAGAAATTCAAAATCATTCGCTTTACTTTAATCATATAGAAGAGGGTCGGCGTTTAAACCGGATGTGCCTCGATCACCAAGAAATACAAAACCACTCCTAACGCACATAAAATTTGTACTTACCGATACCGATTTAGACCAACCAACAGATCCCGGTGTACACACGATGGCAACAAATGCCGCAGATTCACCTCCACACCGCATCTTTGATAATGCCTTTCATCGTTGCTGACAAATAGTCAAGTACTACAATTCCAGAGCATGGTCTATAAACCGACAATACAATGTACTTTACAAAATAGCCAAGAAAGTTTTGTCCCGGATTATAAGCTTTTGTGGGTTACATTTTAAGCTTGTAGGGTTACACATATTTAGGCTAACAGTTTTTGTCGTTCGCAAATACAAAAATAGCGCTTGCCAGCATGCAAACTGATTCATTATTAATAATAAAAGGCTCTATTTTAATTTTTATTTGCACTATGAAGCATGTTTATTATTTTCTATTCAGTGGCGCAAGCGAACCGCGAATGTAAAAAGGCATGCTAGTCTTCCGACTCTGACATTTACCATTTATAAAAAAATTCCTTCGTGGATCCACCAGGAGTACAAGAGGAGATCGAAGGATATGGAAACGGAGACCGAAGATGAATATCTTTTGATATACGACGGTTCAAGCGGGAGTTTTTCCAGTAGCGTATCGTTGTCGGATCGAAGTGTGGATAATATTCTGGAGGAGTACAATTCTGAAATTCCTTTTGCGGGTAAGTTTTATGTATATGTATTAAAATGATTTGTGTTGTTTAGAAACTTTTGAAAGCGTATTTCTGAGTATAACTTGCATTATATTCCAATACTCAAAATTTTAATATTACTTTTGAATTGCTTTTGAGAATTACTTTTGAAATCTTGACATAATTTAAACAGTTTTTTTTTATTTACTTAATTTTATTATTAGATGATCATAAGAATTTCACTATTATAAGAATAAGATATTGTTTTCATTTCTTTCTGTGTCACATTTGCATCGGGTATACTTGGACTTTATCAACTGATTTGTGGTCGATCTCTTCGGTTGAGTTTCCGCTGTTATTATTCAGCATTCTTCTTTTAAAATCAATTGAAGACTATAATACGTGATATAAAACTTAAGAAAATGTTTCAAAATAATGAAGAATAAAAATTGTATGGTGATATTTTCGGATTAATATTGTTCTAAGTAGTTAATTACAAAAAACTAATAATTGATTTAGGACTGCTATGATTTGACGTAATATTGTTTTTGATTAATGAAGATTAATCTTTTTTTCCTTTTTAAAAGATTAGGAGTAAAACATATTGGCACTTTCTTTGTTCTGTATCTGTAGAGTAAAAAGAACGAGTCAAGTCGTACAGCACTTAGCCCACAATTGACTCATTATACATCCTCCCAGAGAGCTGTCGTCCTTAGCTCATTATCCATCCTGCTATTTTCAGAAAGATGGACACATCACCAGGGAACATCTTCCTTATGTGGGCAGATGTAGGTCAGGGCTTGCCGAACATAGAGTGGTATCTACTAGCCGAGTATGTGGAGGTGTTTGCTTAGTTGACAATGACTAGTTAAAAACCAACAGTCAAGAGTAGATTTTTCCTGGTCATTCCTAAGCACTTTTCTGACTTTTTAAGATTACTTAGGAATACTTACGTATATATCCTTGCCCTTCTTCCTATCTTTTCACGGTTTACTTATGAAAGTTTAATAAATTTCGCGATTGTTGTAGTTAACCAACCAAAAAGATCTCCAGGACTAAGAGTCTTAAACCTGCCTCTTTCCCAGCTAGTTGGTCAGCAATGCCTTTATTCGGATGGCTTTATTCCTATTGTGTATTTTAACCTACCTCAGGATGATCTCAATACATAGCTTAAGTAAGTGACTCCTGATTGCCATTACTAACCCTGATGTGACACGTGGTCTATTCAAGGTTAGTCGCGCTGGTCTACTGTCCATGTAGATTATTATGGTTCTCCTGGCTATATCCTTTGGGTTATCTCTTTTGCCGCTATGGAGATACCAGCCAGTTCTGTCTGAACTAGGCTGGCATTTTTGCTCATACTCTACTCTTATTCTTAGGTTCAGTGATCTGGAGTATATCTTGTATGCTGAACCTTCTTCCATTTTTAAGCCATTGGTATACATACAATACGCTTTTGCCACATTTCACACCCTCACTGCCCTTTTTTTGATTTTGTAGGGTTTGTCAAAAACAAACTTGGGTGTAATAGAGTCGTTATTTGGCTGTAGCGAGGGTAGCGTATCCAGCTCTCCCCGCCACCAGAAATGACATTTCAAGTGTCCCATTCTTACATCAAGGTTTGGAGTCGCTGAGCACAGTCATATCATTGTCGATGACGGTGCCACCTCTTTGGCATATATGTCTAGAGGGGTGATGCCAATAAGTAACTCCATTGCAGCAGTTGATGTTGTTTTCATGGCACCTGTTAAATTTAGGCCAGCCATCAGCTAAATATGTTTTAGTTTATTGATCGCTGTTGCCTGTAGCATTTTTTGTACCCAAGCAATAGCTCTGTAAGTTATCATTGGCCTAATGACAGTACTGTAGATCCAGGCAATCATGGTGCGTCCGACTGTTCGTCGGCACTGCTTATAGGAAATATATGCTCCTTATGCGCTCCCACACATAAGTGAGAGTTCCATGTTAACTTTCTGTCAAGGGTAATACCAAGGTATTTAACCTTTTCAAAAAAGTTTAGACTGCAGTTAAGAATCCTTAGGGGTATAAGCCCGAGATTCTCTGTCTTCTTAGGATTTCTTAGGACCATCTCTGTCTTTTTAGGATTTATAGAAAGTGAGTTTTCCTATCTAAAACTATGTTCCACAGAAGTGGTGATAGAACTTCTTCCTGTGGTCACCCCCTCGTAACCATACCTCTAACTGAAACGTCTTCTATTTTTATGCTATATGCCCGGTCAAAGTCAGGGGACGTTCCTAATATTGAGCTGTTAAGTGATGGTTGAAAATGTGGTTTTATCAAGAGCTTCCCCAATGTCTACGAATATAACTAGGGTGGATTCTTTATTATTCAGCGATATTTAAATTCTTTCCACTACTTGATACAGTGCTGAATCGGTAGATTTTCCCTAAGTATATGCACGTTTTTTTGGGTGAACTAGAATTTGGTCCCTTATGTACCTGTCGCATAGTCTTTACATCGTGTTCAAGAGAAAAAATGTTAGCTTAATTGGTTGGAAAGCCTGTGGTAGGGTACTTTGTTTGTTATTGACCTGGGTAAGTTCAGACAAACCAGAAAACTGGAATACCTAGGTAACGTGATGAGGGCTCCAAAATATGAAATTTTGAGACTCATAATACAGGGAAAGATTCAAGGAAAATCTGTTGGCCGAAGGCAGAACTCATGGTTCAAGATTATACGTGATTAGTATTAATGCAGATCGATTAATTTGTTTAGAGCAGCAAGTTCTAAAATAAAAAATAGCCATTATGATTGCCCACCTCCATAGGGAGACGGCACTCTAAGAAGAAGAAGACGTTCAGAAAATGTCACTAAAAATGAAATAGATTAAAAATAGAGCGTATTATATCGAAAGCATACCACCACTAGCAATAACTTAACAAATATGCCAATAGATACATTATTTAAAACCAATATACTGATAATATATATCTGAAAAGGAAGTTTCTTGAAAACTGTGTACTCCCAGTATTGACTTATAATGCAAAGATTTTAACATTTACTAAAACATCTGTGGGAATAATCAAATATGTAGTGGAACTGGTCTGGACACATAGCGAGAATGTAAGATACTAGATGGACTAAACGCGTAATGGAGTGAGGTCCTAGATTTCTGCTATTTAGAGGTAGGAGAACACCTCCGACACGGCGGATAGATGATATAAAGGAGGTAACAACAAACTGGATTTATACGGCATAAGATCGGGAGTAATTCAAAATTTGACGATACAGGCTATGTGATGATAATGTTAATGCAGCCCGTCCAAAAACTAGTCTAGTATAGTCTAGTTTGTAATTCTCGTCAAGGAAACATTATAATTCGTGTCGTAGTAAATAAACGAAAATTTTAGAACCTTAGGGCCACCAAAACTATCTTCTTGAAAGCTTGGAAAACCTACCAATAAATACTAAAAGCATATTGTAAGGTACAATGGTTTGAAGACGATATGGTGAAAAAAGAGTAAAAGAGCTAATGGCAATTATGAATGCATACTAATATCGGTTTATTAAAGGGGTTTAGAAGTGCACAAGAGAAAGGATTTAGTGGGAATCATACTATGTGTAGACCATGCTGTCTTAGTAGTGGAAAATGAAAATGATTTTCAAAGGGTTTTATATTGTTTTAATATAAAAGAAAAAAGACTGAATATCGCAATAGCAACTAAAAACAAATTATAACCACTTCTCAAGAATCGATAGGATGTAAATCAGAAGTTAACGAAAAAGTAATAAAACAAACAATGAATTCTAATTACCTAACGATAGACATTTCTAGTTCAAGCAACACGAAAAATGCACAAATGCTATAAAAGCTAATGAATTAGCTGGCTGCCTAAACGATGTAACGAAGAGACATATATGTCTTGGTATAGATATAAAATATACAGTGCGCAAAGCCAAAATACTCCTCAATATAAAGTCACAAGGCTTCATACAAGAACAAAACGAATAAAGGAATCAACAGGGAATAAAAGAATAACAAGAATAACCAGAATAATGAGATCCAACTATATATAATATGAAAAGAAGTAAGAATATTAGATCATCATCATCATCAATGGCGTTAAAACTCTTTGTGAGTCTTTGTCTCGTTTACTATTGCCTTCCATGCTTATCGGTCCTATGCCACTATTTCCCATTGTCTTATTCCCATTTTCTCCAGGTCTCTTCTGATTGCATCTTTCCACCTTTTTCTAGACTGTCCTATATTTTCTCCTATCTGTTATTTCCCAAAATATGTTGTTTATGTACTGTGTGTCCTCTCCGAAGAGATGCTCTAACTTGTTGTTGTGTCTGCGAACGCGTTGTTTTGCAACGTTGTGCGAACTATTGGAAGGCTATTTTATTTATTTTATTTATTTTAATTTATCGTGTGGCATATAATATGAACACATAATTTAAAATCAATATAAATCGTTACATGGAATATTATAAACTAACATCTAATGTATTATTAATATAATGTAAAACATTTTCGGTCGCATTCAGGAACTCATCGAAACCTCCAGAGAATCGTCTTCGGGGGCATTTGTCAACAATGTGACGGACGGCCTGTGGTTGCGCACCACTGTGAGAGTCAGGAGTAAGAGCTTTTCCTATCTATATAAGCTGTCAGCACAACTACCGCTGCTTGTTCTTATTCTGTTTATCGTTGTCCATATATTGCGGGTTAGTTCAAAGCCTGACGGTTTCTGATTGATACAGGCTATTTGGTGTGCTTCCTGTGGTGAGTCACTCTCCCATTGTCTTCTCTATGCATTGGTGAGGTTGAAGTGTTCCTGATGTAAGGAGTTGGCTCTTAACAATGGAGGATATCTGGCGCGCAATCTGTTTATTTCGATATCAAGCTTATCATGGTGGATGGGTAGGTGACGGTTAGCCTCGATTTTTTATATTCTCTGAGAAGAGAATAACTTTTTCGCAGTTTTGGCGATGGAATGTGACTGAGAATGGGAAGCCAATAGTTCGGTGTAGGTCTAATTGTACCTGAGATCATTCGCATTGTCTGGTTTAATTGGGTGTCAATAATCTTCGTGTG